GACATCCAAATAGACACTTTTACTTCATTTTACAAGGAGAATTAACACTTTAGTTTTATTAGTCTTACTGGTATTAGTGGCTACAGAGGAAGAAGACGACACAGTTGGAGAACTGTGGCAATATTTCCAGTGCTCTAGTTATTAACAAGCGGATTCTCTCTTATCATTTTTTAGTAAGCCTATCAGAAATTATTTATTACCAATACTTTTTAAAAGAAACTGTGTAACACAATGAGATTATAGACACAGCATCTCCTAGACATGACAACCTAACAGGCAGATACACAATAATCATACAATGTACTAAGTGCTATTACTACAAGCTAATACAGTATAGAGGTATGTGGAAACATATAGAAGGTGCATTTTAACAGAATGAAGCAAGGAAAGGATGGGAAATGGCAAGGCTTCTTTCAGTGTGATTTTTCTTGAATTTTAAGAAATTATCCTTTCACAGTTAAGACCTAATTCAGTAAGAATACAATGTACTGAAAATATTTTTATTGTACTAGTTAAATACACGATGGCTTTCCACATTCAAAAAAGATACCTGATCTCTGCTCAATGCCTACTTATAACCATGCCTGAATTGGGATGAATTATTAACAAAACTTTTTTGAATCTGTCCATCCCAGTTGATTGAGTTTAATCCTCGATCTGGTTCAGATCATACAGGATTACACTAGCTGGCCAACTCTTCTCTCTCTTCTTTCTTTCCTGTACAATTATCTCAACCGCTGACCCTTCATTCCAGATACTATGATGCTTTAAATACCACTATCCTTTTACGAAACACAGACAAATCTGAAACCTAACAGACTATGAATACTACTAATACAAAAATCTTCAAGTAGAGAAAAATTCTTATTTTACCTTTCTGTGCATCATTTCTTTCAAGTCCTTCTTTGACCCCTCAGGCACAGTAAGCCACTATGAAATTCACAACTAAAGAGCTTGTACACAGCTCTTATTATATATTAGCTGTCTGCCTGTCCTGTTTACTATACTATGAGTGTCTTCAGGGTTAGAATTGTGTCTTGTTCAACTTTATATGCCAAGTTTATTGCACCATTTCTGGTTCATATTAAATTTTCAGTAAGTATTTACTCAATGAATAAACATGAAGGAATAAATACTTAAGATATTTTTTAGTCACATCCAGCATTTTGTAGAAAATCCTTGTTTAGTGTTAGCTATCTCTTTTTACCTCTTTTATTTACAGATACAGCCTATTCTGTATCTATCAGGATCACTGGTCAAATGGTAATTTAAATTATGCCCTCTAGCAGCTTTTAAGATTTCCAGTGATTTTCTACATACTGCTCTAAGAAACAATGATCCTGAAGCCAGGTGTGGTGATGCACACCTGTGATCCCAGCACTTGGGAGGCTGAGGCAGGAGGATCACAGTGAGTTGGACATCAGACTGGGCTACACAGTGATTTCAAAGCCAGCCTAAAGTACACAGTGAGACATCATCTAAAAAAAAAATCTTGATATCTAACTAGACATGGCTATCAATAAGAATTTTCTAAGAAAGCAAGCCCATTTAAACATACATTTTAAGTATATCATTTTTGATGGAATTCGATACACATATTTATTGCCTAAATACTTACTGAGCTTCTTTCTCGTAGAAATTTTTTCTTGTTTTTTTTAATTGGTACATGTTTGCAGTACATAATTACATTCCTTGTGGGGAGTTGGCAGATGTATACAACACACCTTAATCTTTTTTTATCCCTTTCCCCTCCCTCTCAACCCCCATTAACATTTTTTCAACTGGAATTTTTTGAAATGTTTTGCTTAATGAGACAAAGTAACTAAGTCCTTCCAGAAGCTCACAATCCAGTTAGGGAGAAGACAGACACTAATCATTACTGCTAAAGTTCTATGTCTTCATAGTTTGAATTTTCCATGATTGTTCTAGAAATTTTATATAGACATGGGTTGGTCAATCTAAGTATTCAATTTAGAAAGAAAGTTATGAGCGTCATTTTAGAAGTTGAAAATCCAAATGATCAACATCACAGGAGCTATGACAGTCTATAGAAATTTTCTTTTCCTTGTTTTTGTCTGTTAGAGAAATCAGGATATTCAGTGTATTATAACCAAATGACACTCATATTCTAGAAACCTTTCCAATGCAGTCACTTAGTTCAGTATCTGTCACTCAGGAAAGATTCACAGTTACACTGCGATTAGGGGACTAATGTTTTTATAGGCTTAGTCATAATATTGCATAAGCAAACTATACTTTGTTTAGCAAGTTCCTTCCTGTTTTGAACACCAGTCTTCAGAGGAATAAGATCAGGTGGGAAACCTTGAAAACAACTAAAGAAGCATCAATGCCAAATAGCTCACAGGCCTGAGATTCTGTAGATTAATATGATTCATCTGAGCTAGGGAGACCAAAAGAACTAGCCACTAGTAATTTATTTCCAGACTATTACATCTGTTATAAAGAAATCATAGTTCAGAGAAAAGCCCTAGCAGCAATCTTACTTCTGATGCCTAGAAATCTCTTCTGTATTTCACATATTAATATGTCCCATTCCAGTTCTCTAGTAATTTTCAAATGCAGCATAACAACTTTTGGTATGTAGGTTGCTGATAATAAATATTTGTGCAAGCAGGCTTCTACTGAATTGAAAATGAAAATTTGAGGTTTTGTTAGTCAAAGTCAAAAGCATCAAATGAATGATGCAATCAGTGTTCATGATAAACACAGTTGGATAAATGTGGCATAAAAATCCAAGATCAGCAGGAAAATCAATCAGACAATTTTATTTAAATGAATCTACGATAGGTGATAACAAAATTGTGGCTAAGCTAAATCCTTTTTTGGAGGAAATGCACCAGCCTAATTAAGTAATTCTCTTACAGTTTTACATACCAAATGGAACCCACTGTTACTCTCTTTTGGGACTATACCATTCTATTAATTTTTATTCTAGTAATTTTTATCTTTTGTAAAATAAGTATTTTTTATTTGCCTTAACAATGATGCGACTGTACATTAAAACTAACTACATTTTATTACTTTAATATAAAGTGGTACATAAGTTAAAACAGTTTTACGTTTTTAATATGAATGGAATTAGATTTTGAATGCCAATTATCTTAAATTCAAGAAATCTTTCCATTATCTTTCTTTGCAATGTCCCATTTTTAGTTACCGGGTTTGTTAAACTGAATTCCTAGATGTTTCTATTTCGTCTTTAATGTCTTTTTATTTTCATGACATCTAATAATGGGATATGTTTTTAAAGCGTAGACTGAAATATCCTATCATACTTCATAGTCAGCTCTGCACCTCATTGAAAAATAGCTCTAAAGCCTTAAACAAGGGCTTTATTTAGTGTTTTTAAAAAAGTGTCATAAGGAGTTAATAGGACACAGCTGTACTGGCTCTTTCTAATAAGCAGCTTCTGTCGCTTTGGTCACCACAGGTGTCTCTGTAACCTGCAAACTCTTATTACTAGTGTATCAAAGTTGTGGTACTTAACAGACTTCTTTAGTAAAACATAACAAAGCAATTACATGGCTGTTGATTGCCAGTCATAAAAAAACCCCTCAAACACTGTTTTTCAAAAGAAACTACACTGCAATTTTTTGTCATTGTAAAATAAAAGGAACTAAGGAATTAAATGGAGGATAGAACAAAATAACAGCAGGTAGCCTGCTGAACTTAGCCACTACAGATGGTTTAGAAATAGTGTTTCCTTCTCCATCAAGTTGTGGATAAAAGGAAAGGAGGAGATTCCTCACTGCCAGTGAATGGCAAAAGATTTAGCCAAGTCTCCCGTCTATATATTTTGCCTCATGAAAGACCTTCGATGCTGCATTTCTATCTGTTTTTGGCACTGCTTTCATCACCTTTAACTGAGTGTGAATAATAACCTGATTTAATTTAAACAAATACAGGTGCTAAAGGTTCTTTATTTATGTATAACAGGGAACATTTCCAAGGCAGAACGAAGTCATCCTAGGAAATTTCCTAACCATTTGCTTAAAGAAATGAAGTATTAGATGAAGAAATTGCTTCAACATTCTTTTGCCTCACATTTAGGGGAAGAATCATCTTTCTATTCGGATTCAGACTGCATAAAACAAAGTCTGAATAATGATCAAATATTCAGGGAGCCACAGAAAAAGTAAAAGGTAAATCAGATGATTTCTAATTCTTCTATAATTGCTTAAATTACATAAGTACAATAGGATTCCCTGAAATGAATTAATTTAATCTCCCTGTTTATAGGCCAGTAGCCTATGATTATGACTGTGTTAACACACCCAAAGTAGCATCATAGAATGTTATGGCTACTTGTGTAATTATGCACAATGAAAATATATTGCAGATGGGAAACTCAAGTAGGAAAAATACAAAAGAATAACTCATCACTCACAGATATGATGATTAATCAACTAAAACATACTGAAAGCAGGAAAGAAATTTTTTTTTCCTATTGAGAATATGGATGCATTGCTGGCTGTGTGCGAAAGAATGTGTGCAATAAAGCGACTACATCAATTAGCATATGCTAGAGTTAAGCTATTGCCACGCCACTGGATGGATGCACGATGTCCTGCCTTCTTCACTGATGTTTATTAAAAAAATAAGCTTACTACTAGCATTATATATTAATTTGCTTTGCCTTTTATGAACATCATAAAAACAATTTTTTAAATAAAACCTACAACATACTAGAAATAGACCACACCTTACTGCAAAAAAAGATGAACAAAATGATGTATTTTTGTTTTCAGGTGATTTCTGAATTTAAGCAGCGTCTGGCTTAAATTAATGTATATTTTCACAATTGTAAATAACTGCATGTGTCAGTTATAACAAGTAGCTTTTATGTAACAAAATACAATGGAAGAGAATTTAATGCCAAGGATGAAAAATATTTATGATAACAAGAAGCCAAACACAATGATGACTTTTTAACTTTGTGAACAGAAGTCCAACTTTTAATTTGTGAACAAAAATATTACCTTGCTCTGTTGGCGTCCTTTGTCAGATCCCAAGCCCAGGTTATAAAATTTTGACTCAGATAAGAAACAATGGATTCAGCACAAAGCATTTGTGAGCAGAACACGTTGGTTAGTACACTTTCATCGTGATGGAGGTAGATAGCAAGAAGCTTTCTCTGAAAAGATGAGAAAACATGGATCAATTAGAATATCCACTAATGTAAGACTTCTTGAATTTTGTATTGGCATAATCAGTGTATACGAATAACAAATACAACAAATGCTACTCCCTAAGAATACCACACATTTGGAGTTCCTAAACCATCTACTAGTAGGAATGAATTTTGCCTCCTTATACTCTAAAGAGGCAGGATGATTATAATTAGTTTTACAGACTGCCACCCCATCTCATTTCTGTTAACATGTACAAGCCTATTATTCTGAAAAGAAATGATAATAAAATTACATTTTCTTTACGTGGATTTACCATTCTTTACATTTAATGCAAGCTTTTGTGTTATGAAAAATATTAGCCCTGAACTATTCAACTATACAGAAAGAAAAAATACTCACTAAGACTGGATGGCCAAATCCCTTTTATATATTTTTAATGTTTTTAATCAGACACTGAATAGTGTATTGTATTTGAAAGGAAAAGTTATGAAAGTTTGGTTTAGTTCCACAGCTAATTTCAAAGTCCTTAACATTAAAGTCCTTATTTATGAGCATATAATATTTAATGTCCTTTTGAAAAAGATAGAAGAATTACCAGTTCATGTGAATTCCTTATAGTTTGTTTCAGAAAATGTCTAATGTGGTTTCTCAATGGAAAATTATTCTTTCCTTTTTCCCATGGTGAAAATTTGCTTTAAAGAACTGACATCTGCTCTCCTTAAAAGTGTCCTCTATTGTGGTTGGATAGTCAATAAAATAACTGAAATAAAAAACTAAAATTGGACATGATAGTTTGCAGCATGTGGGCTTTAATGATCATAATGAAAGACCTAAATTCTTGTTGACTAACTTCTTGCTGCTACATTATAGAAGAGCCGAGTTTAAGAATGGTCACACTTACCAGGAAAAGGAAAGGTAAAATTTTATGGCCAAACAACATACAAACCAATCTGTGAAGTTCTGTCAAAGGAAAATTTCAAGGAAGCTTTAGGATCTTTTCCTTCATGTTAAATAAAGATGTGATGATAGTAAATGAAAATTTACTATGTGGGATCTTAAACAAAAGACACTTACAGAGAAATACAAGGCTCATGCTAATGAAAGGCTTTAAGTTTGACGCTTGTAACTATCCTGATCAAGAATTCCAATTATAATAACAGAAAAGTAATCATTAAATAGATGATCAGAAGTAGACAGGTATATTTGGACACCAAAAGCATCTATTATGATAGGATATGCTCTTAGTTATTTTTGCAACTATTATCTATATATATTCTCTGGAATAAACCTGTAAAATACTACTCATTCCAATATGAGGAAACTGACTTGTCCTAAATTCTACAGCTAATTTCTAAATACAACTGGGACTGAAACCTAAATTGTCTGAATCTAAGTCTAGTGTTCTTTCTCTGATACGACAGTGTTAGTGGGGAAATCAACCACACTGTAGTCAAGGCATGTGAGAGCTTTCACACAACAGATGCCAGACTGCTTATAACATCAGTGCTTCTGAGCCTCAGAGACAGCATGTAATGGGAATAAGGACAGGACTCCTGTATATAAATAGTTCATCTGATCCCACCCCGCTTCTGCGTGTTAATTCATTCATTCATTTATTCAACAAGCATTTGTTGAAATACTCATTGTGTCAGGCCCAGCAGGAAGCACAGGCGATAAAATAGTGAACAAGAACGACTCAGGGTTCCTTCATTTATGTTGATGTCTGCAGATAACAGTAGTTCGGTTTCTAGGAAGTTAGTAATCAGATACATTGTTGGAGAGACACTTATCTAGTAAATTTGACTTATCCTTTAAGGCTCAGAGCAAATGCCTTTATGAAACCTTCCCTGATTCCCTCAGGCGGAGTTAAGAGCTTCCTTTCCAGGGCCTCCTGCTCTTCCTATTAGTATTATAATTATTTACCAGTTTCCCCTCTAGACTAAGTCTCTTAAGGGCCAGGACTGGGCCTCTTTCAGTTTTCTTTGCATCCTTAAACTAGCAGAGATTTCAGTCTGTTTCATGAAGGAAATGTGAATGCTGATATTAATTACAGTTCCCCACCTCCCCAGGCACAAAATGGCCATGACAATGTTTTGAAAATCAGTTTTAGTAAATGAATCATGAATCTGTTGCTTTAGGGAAAGGACGGCGAACCTGGCAGCACTAACAAATTCAGAGCTCCTCTTCTTAGGAGCTCACTAGCTGAATAGACAGAGGGATGTCAACCTCTAATTCTGCTCTATCGTATCTCAGCAACTACATTTAATGAGACACTGGGAACAAGAGAGCCATCCACTTTTAAATCAGCATATTTCTAACCAAACAATAGCAATGGCTAGATCTTTAAAATGCCTATTTTTCTCAAGAACACTGCAATAGAACATTTAGACTTTGGGAAAGAGATTAGTGATTTACATCACTATCTCACTGATTTAATTTAAATGCTCTTCCAAACCAAACACACATGTGCCCAAGAGACTACTAAGAAACCCAACATGCAGAGTTCCCTATAAGTGCAGCCGACAGTGTTGACTGAAACTAAACTTGGAAATCCAGGGCACTAATGCACAATATCAAGCAATAAAACAGCATCTCTTTGGCAATATTTAATTTTAAAAAGAAGAAAGATGCAGGCGAAGATCAGGCACTGTCTGTTTTCGCGGATCAACCATTCTGCATTTCAAAGCATTGGTCCCTGCAATATCCAGGTTACTGTGCTAGAATCTCGACTATTATATCGCAGTTGTGAGAGGGAGGGCAAAGATGTGTTTACTCAGTGATTAGGCCCTTAGAATAAGCCTCTAGCTCCTAGAGAGACAGCTCACCACTTATTCATTTGGGCCAATTCACAAAGCCTAGGAAGATTAAACATCCATGCTGAGAAGACAAGCGAATGCAGACGGTGAAAAAGAAATAAAAATTCTTTAAAAACTCTGAGATGACTTCATTATTTTTCCACAAGGAAACTTTAGGAAAGTGTTTAGTTAGAGAAAAACCCACATTGACCTCTCTCTAAACCCTTAATCTTTCCTTTGTGGTGGCACTGCTTTGTGGTAAGCGACCGGCTCGCCTTGCCCCTCTTTTCACTGGAAGCTGAGAGAAAAAAGCCTCTGGAGAAACAGTTTTCGTTCCAGGGACACAAACCCCTGACACTGTTAAACATCAGATGCCAGGAAAACACACTTAAAAAAATTCCCACTTTAAGCTCCAAACCGAATGTGAGAAAGAAGATGACAAGGAGAGTACCAGAGGAGGATCTTTAGGCTGGGTGTACTCCCACAGTAGCCTTCAAAAGGGAAACCTAAACGAATCTTGCCCCTGTAACAGAATAAGCTTTCAACAAAAATGTTTTCGTCTATTATGATAAAGTTTTCAAAATATAAAGACAACAATATGCAAATACCACTAAATCTGGGCTACAAAAATCTGATTAAGTGACAGGCACAGGTAAATGGCTCCACACTCAGATCTCTGATTATCTTACTGAGCTCAATTAAGCACAGGAAAAAACAGTAAGAACTGAGTTCCGCATATCGCCAGATTGGGAGAGTTGAAATGGCAAAGTAATCAGAAAACTGCTACTGTAAAGAAAGGGCACCTACTACACAGAAAAAACAGGACAAAAATGTTTTATTTTCTATTACTATAACCAGTTTTTCCTTTGATCCAGTAATAATTTTAATTCAATAATATTTACCGAGTGTCATGTGTTAGGCATTAAGAATATAAGTATGAATAAAACAAAGTTTCCTAGCTCTGAAAGAATAGTGGGGTGAGTATGTGGGGAACTAAACATGTAACTGTAGCACTATATAACAAGTTATGCTACCAGGACACTAAAAAGATTCTATTTTATTTGTCCTTTCTATTTTGGCAAAGAGAGTTATGTCTGGTAGACCACAAAGGCAAGCAACCCAGCTTCATTACCCTCAGACTCCCTCTCCGTGATGTAGGTGTTAGTAACACCGTGTAACTATGAAAGAAAATCTCCAAGCTTTAAAGTAACCGAAAGCTCTGTTCTAAACCCAATTCTGCCACCAAACAGCTGTGTGACTGTGGAGCAAGATGGTATGTAAGAACTGTAGACAAAATAACCTATTTACTATGTCAGGCCCACAGTAGGTATAGTGAATAAAAGGTAGCTGTTAAGATGAAGATTTGGAACTATCCATGCAAAATAAAGGGTTTTCAAAGCAATTCCAAGACAAATGATAGCCATGAAAATGTATTAAAGAGTAAGCAGTGCCTTTATTTTCTCTATTGGCAATAGTATCTGGGATGCTTACTGTGCTTTCAGTGCCTTACTAATCTTTACATTCAAATCCAGAAGGTAAAGTACTAAACTGATGCTTAGGAAATGCCCAGCTGTGTGACTTGGCCTTGAGTTATGGTACTTAAACACTCAGTATCACATAATCATAGAACATCAGAACAGGAAGAAAGAAACTGTACCTCAAAGTAAGCCAGGCATAGGGTAGACACTCAGCAAGTATTTGCTGATGGACTAAAAGGAAGTGTTTCTTTTTGAGCACAAGAAAATTCATAACTTTTGTGTTCAATGATTTTAAAGTTGATATGACAATTTCTTAAAATGGTAGCTTGCAATTTTTTTCAGTGTAAGAAATAAGTTATATAATGATTTCCTTTGTGCAATTTGGGGCCTGACTTTATTTCTCTCCTTCCTGTTTTGATCCTTTTTTCTTCATTCTTATCATCACTATAATAATAAAAATTGTTACTACTATTATTCTTTTGTTTTGCTTTTAAATTTGGGGATGGTTTATCAGTACAAACAACTGATACACTGAAAAACAAATACCATTTTCTTTACCTAGATTTAGCAATTATTAACATTTTGGCACATGTGCTTTATCATTCTTTTTATACTTTTTTCCCTGAAACATTTGAAACATCTAAAACTTCCACCATAAATACTTCAATGTCAGTTTCCTTCTAATAGTACATTTCCATATATAACCGCTGTCTTTATCATACCCAAGGC